ACACTATATATATATATATATATATATATATATATATATATATGCAAATAGCAAAAATCTCACTTGTATTGCTTTTTTTAATTCTAAAATTCACGTGCAAAGAGAAGACTCACGCGCCCCGCTTTCGATTGATCGCGGAACGAACGGCGACAAATTTACACGAACGCATTAACGGCGGGGTGTCGTTACAGGTGGCAATAGGGGTGGCCCTGCGAATGGGAGGAAGTGATTTATAAGAGTACACCGAATTTCGATCGTTGCACGTGTGCTAAACCTCTCGTTTTAGCGACCATCGCGCCTATCTTTTGTTTTTTTGTTTTTTTGCAATTCCATCTCGCAATTCATGGTCTCCAAAATTAGTGTCGACGTGTCGCCATCGAGAAAAATTATTATCTCGATACATTTGTACACGAGGGAGACAGAGAGAAAAAGAGATGGAGACACAGTGTTAGGGAATTCTATTTTGAGATCATGCGGTGTAGCGTGATTGGACGAAAGATGGAAAATATTTCGAAAAATAATTAATTGTTAACATCAAATACGTTAATATTGAAAATCATGTGAAAAATATGCTTGAAGCTGAAATGTACATTTGCAATAAAATATACACAATACATTATTGTTTTTAAATATATATAAATATTCCAGAAAAATTATTCAGCAAATAAAAGTAAAATTGATATAAATTGACTTGATAAGGTTTGTTCCCAAATTGTAGTCGTTTCCATCGTAATAAATCTCGTAATAAATCTTGTCTTTAAAAAAATACAAAAAGATCAATGATAGATCGATCAACCTTATTCGAATGAGATAAAGATTTTTGAATAAAAAATCAGCTGAATAATTTTTGTTGTACAAAAACTACATAATTCGCAAGCAAGCATAAGAAAAATATGTAAATTATTTGTATTACATTTACACTGAATTTATCTCTGAAATTATGTTTGCATATACAAGAAATATTCTATATAAAAACAATCAATTTAAAGTCATCAGTTTAGATTGTTTAGAATTTTTGTTAATAAACACTAATCGATAAAAAAAATATATATATAATAAAAAATATATATTTGTAAATTTATATATTTTATAATTAGTTTAAAAAAAATATTAAATATTTTTGTTACTTACATTAGTCAACAAGACTTATTTAACATAGATAACATTTATTTTTTATTGTGCTGAATATATTATTAAAAAAGTTCAAATTCAACACATTTTTCAAGAAATTAATTAATTTTTTAATTTGTAAAAGTAATCAACATCGAACCATTGTTTTTCTTCCACACAATTCACATTTTTCTTTTTAGTTAGCATAGTAAAACATTTTCACTTTCCAGCTTCAAAGTCTAATGCATTGTTACCATTAATGTATATCTGTACACAAACGTGGTAATAAATCTAACAGTTATCAACCATAAGAGAGAATCAAGAAAATAAAATCTATATTGAGATAAGTAATATACATAATTTTTAGAAGTCAGTCTTGATTCTGAAGTTCTAGTGAAAGATTAAGTAGTATAGGAATAAAATAATTGTAAATTCTATATTTTTATATTATTTCCATTAATTTATATATTGGCTTATGTTTTAATATGTTCTTTGAAAATTATGATATGTAATGGCATATACAAACTTTCTATTATTATTTTTATATTCACCATGTGCAAATTAATTAAGGACATCCTATTTTTTCATTCATGATATAAAAAAAGTTTAAATTCGTTGACTAATGTTATTTCTGTGATATTGTATTATTTAAATTGATTTATTTTTTATAAAATTTTCTTAGTATACAAAAAATATAATTAATAATGATAAATAATAAAATGCTGTGCCTTGCAATATTAATGCTTAATTATTTACATATTTTCCAAAGTAAGAGGTAGTCTTACATCCAATCTCAATACGTTATTCTTGTCAATTTTAGAAAATTGTGTGAAAAAAATGATGTATTAATTTTTCCATATTACATATTAAAATTATTTTTTTTAATACTAATTTCAAAGTAATATCTTTGTCTGTGATAAAAGCGTACAACGTTCGTAAATCAGACTACGTAAAAATTATGTAAGAATAACAAGATCTCTCTTGTTGAAGAAAACTCAATACACACTGTTATAAATATTTGTAACATTGTCAAACTGCAATGATTTTATCTACTTTAACAATTATATAGATGCTGTAAATATATTATGAAAATATATCAAGTCATGAAATCTTGAAAAACGATATCAATCTGAATAACTCACCATTCATCGTGGTACGAGAGAAAAATAATGTCACACGTTGAACGATGAGTTTGTTACTCCGTCATCATCGCATTAAACCTTCACACATTTAAAGCGCATGCTTAACACGTAATCCGATAAGTAAAATTAAATGAGTGGAGGTAAAAGGGGAATTAAACGGAGCTAGTTTTTGGTAAGAGTTTTTGTTTGGAAATTAGTTCCCGATGCTGCTCGTGATACTCCTGAAAGCATGGCACGATACACAAATTGGTCTGGCATTCGGGACAATGATACTTGGTTTTCCTACGAAGTATCCTGCCATGGGCATCTATCGTATTCCAACAATGATTGCAACCTAAGGCAGGACCCTGACGCAACACTGGACAATGACCTAATCGTTGATCTCCCGTGCTCTCACGAAACTCTCTGCTACTGCTCGTCTAATAAATAGATATTATATTTATTTAGTTTCCTTTGACTTAACTTAAGAGAAACTTTAGTGGATATTAACGGTTTGCTATTTTACATATAATGCACAAATTAAAGTT